TAAAAATAACAACAATATTCAAATAAAAATAACAACAATATTCTAATACACGGTGTACGCTACCGCTTCAAACGCGATCACTGGTAGAACAAATCTACCTCCTTGCGGTCGAATATTTTACCATATTTGGCAGCCGCAGAGAACAAAATGCCATTAACCCAATTTGCAATAAAAATCGACATAATGTACCGTCATATAAAGATATAGATATTCTAGTGCAAATAATATAAACTAGGTGTACCGAATGGTAACGTAAAGATATGTATTTTATAGAACGCCCGTGCTCAAAAAATAAATTATGTATATTTTATAAACAGACTAAGTTGAGAAAAAAAATGTAATTTGCTCTGTAGAAACTTCGGGTAATTGACATCGGGATAGACTTATATACAGTCTCTTGTTTATTTGTTGTTGTTTTCTCAATAAAGTAAAAGAGTGTAAATGGCGAAAGCCTAGTTTGTGCGGTAATCCGACATTCGCGGTAACGTGGCTTACGCCATTTACACTCTCACAACATTTTATATTATAGAGAAAACAACAACAACAACAACAACAACAACAAATAAACAAGAGACTGTATGCAAGTCTAACATCGGGCATATTCAAATATTCAACGCTGCACTCTCTCCCATAATGCATTGCGCTTTCTCGACTCGTGCCCAGATAACAATAGCAAGTAATTTGACGCTTTCCTGTTGTGTATGTGAATGAAAATATGGTGTCATTCCATTAAATGATGACTCAATATAAGATGCAGTCGCATTTTCTATGTACGCCAATAAAAGACAGCAGGAAATTCCCCCATACAGACTCAAGCGAAATTTGAAATTATATTAGCCATAGTCATCAGAATTTTAATTATGTTCACCCAATGACAGTGACGATCAAGAGTATGACCAAGCGTGACAACCGTAGTGATAATTATTGTTGGTTTCTATAGTAACGACCTTCAAGCTTCGGTGGTTATTTGGCATTTTACCTCAACGGAAAAGGAGTAATTATGCTTTGTTTTAAGGTTGTTCATATGATTGGAATTTTAGTGTGAGCTATTTTGACTAAGTACTTTTTGTTTGAAGACGTATACACTGTATGCCGTATCACTTGTTTATGTTCTGCGAGGATCACGGTGCGGGCGCAGTGCCTTATTGGCAGGAACCGGTCGTTTCTAATTACAGATGAAATATTGTTCGCTGCTGTTGTTATTAAATATACACGTATATATTCCTATCAATGAAACAACTTATGGGCAAAGTTATCGCAGCAAATCGCGACGGAGTCTGTGTTGACCAGCGAGCGTCATTTGTTATCACACATTCGTATGGTGGTTAGCAAAAATATAAACATATGACGTCACACATAATAGGTAAATACATAAATGAATAAATATTTTATTGATCTTGATATTATTTTTTTATTGTCGAAAAAATAAAATAATTCATTCATTTAGAATGGTTGAGGGCGCTTGATGAAATATTAGACTGTTTATGAATGACAAAATGACGCAGAAGTACGCGCTTAGCATATTTAAAGCGCGGTGGTTCGAATTTCATGTAAATAAACAATGTATTTTACACGTGTGCGCACGTCGCTATGATTCCCATATCGAACAGAACGTGGCGCGACGACTGCCGCCCTTTAAGATCTATATCATGAATTACACAGCAATTCAGAAGAAAATACAATTAGTAAAACATCTCACTAATACTGAGAAAACATTAGTACGAGGAATAAATGCATGTATTTTAGTGTACATTAGGTTTATTTTGAATCCAATTAGTCACGATTAATTGCACTTTAATTTACTAAGACATGTCTTCCGCGAAGTTATTTTTGCATACACCTAACTAATTGAAATTATTGATAATTGAAATTAAAATTTGAAGAGACCACGTTCGCATAATTCACAAGCATCAACACCAGATACACAAGCACAGACATTGTTCTATACCAGTTCATTGCCAGTAATGTACTCTTTATTTTAAGTGGGAGGGTCGTCACCTACGCACGCGCGCGAATTGAGTCCCAAGCAACGATAACAACACACACCAAAAACGCAAAGGGGCATGGGTAGACGCTTGTTTGTAAACAATGACACGCTATGGCAATGTGACGCATGCGCAGGTGACGACTCCCCCCGCTTTAAACAACTGTCGCGAAACTCAGGCTGTTTTATTATTTGCGTTTGTAGTTTGGATATCGTGTGAAAGGAACTAGTTTAAGACTTTGTAATTTACTGTAGTTTGTAGCTTGTAAAATGTATGTAAAAAAACTTGCGTTTTGTTTTATGTAAATAGATAACAACAAATATCTACCAAGCAAACACCATGACGGCGATGTTTCTGATATATCAAAAGGGCGATTTGGTTGAACAGTAAACGAGGCTCCGATTCTTATGTGTTCAATATACAAATAAATAGTTAGTGATATCGGAGGCTAGCCATGTACGATGATTACCAATTATATCGAATAAAAGACAGATCAATACTGAATCGAAATTTAATGTTAGGGCGCTTTACAGTATCTGTCTACGTCGTCTTGTTATAGATTAATTTAGTAAATTAATTAATAAAACACATAAATAGCAAGATTAATAATCATCGTAGCGTACGATATATATAATAATTTCACAGTGATACCAATAAGGACTCAGTGATGTACGTCACAATTAAACTGTATATTGTTTTTACAGGGTGTCTCCGAGATGTCCAATTGACCAGGCACCTGTGACAAGGGACAGGGTAAGTAGGAATTAATCACCCACATATGGGGTTATGTGTATTTTAACATTTATAAGCTACATAAGGGGTATGTGTATTTTAACATTTATAAGCTACATAAGGGGTATGTGTATTTTTACATTGATCAGCCACATACGGGGTATGTGATCCTTGACAAGGAACAAGGTAAATTGGAATTAATCACCCACATAGAGGGTATGTGTTTTATCATCAATCGGCAGCATAGGGAGTGTTTTTTAACAATAATCACATATCGTATTAATAATTTGATAACATGATGCAGACATGGCAAACATTTTCCATATACCACATTATGGTTGATATTTATTGAAGTTCCAATTTACTGACAGAGGAAGCGTGTAATAATCACTATAAATTAACGCGTCTTTCACTTTCGTAGCCCCAACAACAGTGATAAAGCGCCACCAAAGTTCAACATAGCCTTATAACATTTCGTCTTCTACAGTATACATCAGCGCGTCCTAGCAACTATTACAGAACAACACTGGGTTATTATTTCCTCGCAGGTGGAAATGTTCCCTCCTCAGCCCATGTGACACGATATCATTATATATTGAGTAATTGATTATACCATTACTTGTATGATCACACATTTTATTTTCAAAGCGGTAAAATACAAATGAGAGTATAAATTAAATTTCATATCAATTTATCAATAAAATGCTCAAAATATCATTATATATAAATATTAGAAGGTTTTAATTGGATTTTCGATGTTACATATATTGTTTGCAGTGCAAATGTGTTATATATGTGGGGGAATTGAGAATAGGGTTTCACACTTATCTCAACCCTAACGAGCGTAGAGTTCAAGGCCCGTAAAACAAGGGACTGTCAATCAAAGAAACAGGAAACAAATAAACGATATGAAGAAACTGCATTTATTACTCGTCACTGGAAAAGGTTACATGTACTCGCGCGCTAAAACAAGTATTCAGGCCTTTTATAGGCTCGGTAGGATCAGCCACCGTTTTAACCAAAGGTTGGAAAAATGGACAAACTTCTCGACAAAAAAAAAATGGTCACAAAAATGTCAGCAAGTAGTTGGAGATTTTGTTTTCCGCCAAATTAATGAATATACTTTCATGTGTGCCCATGGAAATTAAATAGACATTGTCGGACCATGCAAATAATATAATGAATGCCTCTCCTCGAACATGTACAGATTTTCTGAAATTAGTTAGGATAGAGGAATCCCGACATGAGTACGGAATAATCAGACGAGATTGAATGATTTCCTTTTTACTACACAGGTGTACGTCGACACACCGTTCGGAAAAGAGATCGGCAATCTTGCTGTGAAATGTTGCAACAATGCAAAAGGTTGTGATTGGACAGGTATACTGCAGAATGTCAAGGTATAGAGCATGTTTATATTCGACAAAGTTCGGCTATATTTTATTGCGCATGAGTATAATAGTTAACTTCGGTTTGTTTATGTTTGTTTATGTTCGGCTGTGTTTTGTTGAGAATTATGTTCAACGATATTTTATATACATGTAGAATTAATAATGTTGCGTGTTCGGCAGTGTGGATGATTTCAGGGGCAGAAAACAGATCTTTATGTTCCAAAATATTCGGGTATGTTTTGTTAAAGCGGTCGTGTCGTCACTTGTGAATGCGTCAGATGACCATAGCGTGTCATTGTTTACAAACAATCGTCTACCCATGAGCCCTTGCGTTTTAAGCACGCGTTGTTATCGTCGGTTAGGACTCAATTCTCGCGCGTGCGCAGGTGACGACCCTTCCGCTTTAAGTAATAATGAGCACCATGTTTCGTATTTTTGGATATAAAAACTGTTATTAAGCGTTTCACGACCGACGTGACATAATGACATGTATTGTTATTTTTTCTTCGCAGGACCATATGGACAATTGTGGCCACATCGTGGTGGATTGTCCAAACGCTTGTGGCGCTCACTTTGAGAAGCGTTTCTTGGAAGGTCATGTGACTGAAGATTGTCACAAACGCACCGTTCAGTGCGATTTCTGTCAAAAGACAGTTTTTTACAAGGACGAGATAGTTCATATGAATGCGTGTAAGATGTTCCCAGTTATGTGTCCCAATGGATGTAATGAGACTGATATACCACGTGGTGATGTAAGTACTTGTGTCCCACCAACTTTGAAACACATGTTGGAGTCTCGCCCATATGGAGAGTTGCATCTTCGCCAGCCAAGGACCATTTATTATTCGGCCGTAGCCTCAACATTAACTCTTGGCTGATTTCACCACGATTGACTGTATTACGCACGCCCTCACCGATAATAAGATTCACTTCGGCTAATTTGCATCACCCAATCAGAACTCACGAAAGAAACTACACATTTCTTGGTAAATCACATAACGTGTTGCTAGCTTTTCTTTGAACGAGCTTATTGGTCATCAAAAGCGCTTAGTGCTGTATCTGTCGAAAATGACGTATTTGTTGCAAAAACACTCGCTCGACTGTGTTGCAACGAAGACCGAATCGGTATGTTATCAGTTTCGACAATTTTGTCAGTTTACTAAAACAAATATTTAGGCATTCCATCGTCCTCATTCACTTGCCCACACAAATTTTCAACGTTGGAATGAGAAATTTTAGAACCATGTCAATTAATTAAACCTTATGTTGTTGACTCGGGGTGAATCAGCGCAAAGCCGACACGCCGCCATTGTTTTAATCTGTGATGAGCTCCCCGATCTCCACATTTATGATACAGCAACTTTGATTGGTGGCGCCAGCTCCTTGGCGCGCCCAATCAAATGCAGTGAAATACAGCTTTTCCTAACACGATCACGTACGGGTTCGTAGGCCGGTTATGAATGGTCGGCTTTAGCGAACTCTGAGATTCGGGCGATGGGAAGGTTGGTGTTGATGGGTAACCAAGCCTCCTTTTTAAACCAAATTATTGTAACAAAATGACCCGAGAATCATTGATTGATGCGTTGCATTGTGGGAGTGGGAGTTGAATGTCCTTGCGAAAGACCTTACTTGTATAGACTGATAAGAAACGTTCGCTAAGTTGTTTTTCAAACGAAATAAATTCTAGATTTTTGTGCAAAACAACTCATATTTCAGTTCAAAGCTCACTGTGACCCCGACTGTGGGTTGTATATTTCAGGTCAAAGTTCACTGTGACCCTGACTGTGGGTTGTATATTTCGGGTCAAAGTTCACTGTGACCTTGACTGTGGGTTGTATATTTCAGGTCAAAGTTCACTGTGACCTTGACTGTGGGTTGTATATTTCAGGTCAAAGTTCACTGTGACCCTGACTGTGGGTTGTATATTTCAGGTCAAAGCTCACTGCGACACTGATTGCCCGAAAGCAAAGATACCATGTCCATTTACAATCTGCGGATGCGATTACAAGGTAGGCTATTTATTTATTTATTTATTTATTTATTTATTTATTTATTTATTTATTTATTTATTTATTTATTTATTTATTTATTTATTTATTTATTTATTTATTTATTTATTTATTTATTTATTTATTTATTTATTTATTTATTTATTTATTTATTACATATATGCGTTTGCATCATGCAAAACACCAAATTTGTAAACGATGCGGGTGATAGGAACACAAATCTGAAATCAAGGAAAACCAACACGAATGATTCAAATTCCTTCGCTGTGTCACCATATTGATAGAGATTCTGAAAAGTTATCTGCCAAACGAGTCGAAGTCCCCTTCCCTACATCTATGCTTTATTCACATGTATTACGGAGACCCGAATTACTACTACGCGCACATTCGTAGCACATAAATGTTTTACCAAGAGCTACTCTATAATGTATGTTACGTGTTACTGCTGTTAGTTTTGCTATACCCTTGACCTTGACATTTGTCTCTTTCATCCCTCATACCTCTTATGCTTTACGTGTCCATGTTACACTTGCTTTCAGTGTGAGAGACAGAAGATGTCGAAACACATCAAGGATGAACCAACGCAACATTTGACTATGGTCGGCGACACTGTGGTTAAACACGTTGAATTACTCGACAAGCACCAAGAAACCTTAAACGACCACAAGGTGAGACTAGCATGGTATATAAAAGTCCATCAAATTGCGTCCCTCGCTGATATGTACTGATTTAGGAGTCAGAAGTATGTTTTTCGTGAGTGCTACCCAAGGCAATTTTGTTTGACGAGTGAAATAAAATCTCACGCAAACTAATTTTACCAAACGAGAAGGGCCCTGGGTTTATTAACTGCGCGAGAGCAAATGGTGTGGGTTTACTGATTACTTGATTCGCAATAGGTGTTATGTGTGACAGTTACTCTTAAAATAAATTGAGTGAGGTTTATCGATTTTTTTGTAACAAACAAGATTTATGAGGAAATTTAACAATTACACGTGTGCACAAAATGCTGGGTTTACAAATAATGTGTAACGAAATAGTGCGGGGCTTTTCAATCATTTGACAATGTAACAAAAAAAAGTGTATGGTTTACCGATAGCGCTCAACACAGACGGCTTACGTGATATGCATAAAAATATAACGTATATTGAACGTGCCTATACATATACGGTGAATAACACTTCAAGGTGCCTGAAATAATATTACTTGTCTTGTCTGGTAGGAGCAACTCGTAGATTGCCGCCAGAAGGTGCACGACCTCGAGAAGATGTACGGTTCACAGCTTGTGTGGAAGATTGATCGATACGCTGAAAGGGTTCAGGAGGCCAAATCGGGAAAGAAACCTACAATATTCAGTCCGCCGTTCCTGACTAGTCGTCATGGTTACAAACTGGCTGTGTCATTGTGCTTGAATGGTGATGGAAAAGGTATATTGACACTTTCCTTCTTTTTTTAATTGTTTTCGTTTTGTTTTCTTGGTCTACAAAACAAATACATTTAATCCTTTTCCTGTAAGGGTTGGAACATTGGAAACTATGGGATGGGAAAAAAACTGAACTTATTATACAAATGTGGTTTGTTCATTTCTGCATATCCTTTTTTTTTCATAATCGTCTTTGTGCAGATTTTGTTTTTCCAAATCGCCTAAAAGGTTATAATGGTCAGCCCTTAACGACAAACATCAGCCCTTAACGACAAACATCAGCCCTTAACGACAAACATCAGCCCTTAACGACAAACATCAGCCCTTAACGACAATACATACTTTTATTTACTGAAATATTTGACTGGATGTGATCCTCAATAAATCTTACTGTGTTATATAGCAACAATGACTATTTTCTTGTCTTGTCCCAAACAGTTTAAGTGCCCTATCACTCCTAGATTTTGCATGACTCATAAACTGGCGGGAAAGCATCAGAGGTGTCGTTCGACACTTCATTTGTCATCCTGCGTACTTTCTAACATAATTTTAAACCTACCTACTGTTTTTCATGTTTCTATTGTCAAGTTTGATCTATTTTTATTTAAATTTTTAAAGAGTGCAGGGAAGTATACATTACTCTGCCAATGTGTATTGTTTTGGCGGGAAAAAATTTTAACGACCGACGACTGTTCTCGAAAGCAAACACGCCAGTTTACGAAAGTCTCACAATTTATTTTCCCTTTTTAGCCAAGAACCACTTCATGTCTATTTTTGTCTGCATCTGCCGGGGTGAATATGATGCATTGTTGCCGTGGCCGTTCAGTCATCGCATTGTCTTTACAGTCATCGACCAGTGCCAGGACCCAGCAGCCCGGCGTAACATCGCCTATCAAATCAAACCGAACATCTGCAAAGAGAACAGACCTTTTCTAGGGAGACCGAGCGGGGAGCGGAATGCCAGCTTTGGCACACAGAAGATGGTACCATTGGCAACTATAAAAACGCTCGACTACATCAGAGACGACACTTTGTTTATCAAAGTGCACGTTGACCATGATCAAATGATCCTCTTGTAATTTACATAAGTGATTTGCATATTCATATAATTTGTTATCAGAGTGAGACTAAGAGACGACGAGTTTAGATTCGGTGACAAAAATCTGCTTAATTTTGTTTTCATTATTGATAAATACAACCATACATATACATTTAAAGCTTGGTCCTTGGGATCGTCATTTACATGACATTATCAAATGACGCAGGGAATGGTACTGACAAAGAAGAGGATTTCCAGATATACCTAAATAAGGCATTATGAGTAGCTGGGTATTTTAGAGCAGTTTAAGGCGGGGGT